CTATTTATATCAAACGGGACTCATCGACAAAACACAATTAAATCATTTCTATGACATACAAAACAAAACCGCAGTTGACATCAAACAAAATAAATATCGCGAGGCTTTTGACCTTTTTGACCAACTCGTTGGTTTGTATTACGTTTACAGTCATACTTTTATTGTTTTTAACATTTTGTAATTATTTAGGCGGAGATGTAACGAGTAAATCGTATTTTACAAAAGTTACCGGTTTTCACTATTATCTCAATATTTTGCAAAGTAATGAACCGAAAGGTGCCGACGATTTTGCAAAGTTTTTAAACTTAAACACTACTCAAGAGGCCATACATGTGGGCTGTACTGCATATTCGTCGACAAACACAACAGTTTTTACTTCTCTAACCGAAGATGAATTTTCTTCAGTTAAGCCCTGGTTTACAACACTTATCGATAATTATAAAGTACTCATATATAGCGGTCAATTGGATATTATCGTTGCCACGACTCTCACCGAGAATTTTCTTCAAAGTTTAGGTAATATTTTTATTAAATATAAAAAAGTTTATTTGATTTCATTGTTTTATATAAGAGTGGAAACATTCAAAAGAGTACTCAATGGCCAACCGATTGGTCTGGAAGTTAGATAAGGGGGACACAGAAGTGACCGGTTATGTGAAACGCGTGGCAAACTTTACCGAAGTTATAGTCCGAAATGCTGGACATATGGTGCCTACAGATCAGCCCAGGGCTGCGCTCTCTATGATTGATAAATTTATTAGAGACTTACCATTTGAATAACTTTCTGAATTTATAAACTATTCACGAGTCAATAAAACATTAATGAATATTTTAATCTTATTTAATTAATTTTTATATTAAAAGTAAAAATGCAATACATATTATTGAATTATATTTATATAAAATATATAATTTAAAAATTTAGAAAATCACAGATCAATGCTTTGAATCACAGGTAATTAAAGGCTTATATTATAGTATTTGTGTTGAGATAAACGCCTATAAATGGTGTCATAATTTGTTAATTGGAAATAATTTGTGGATAATATGCTTGACTTCTATATTGAGATATCTTTCAGTGGTTTTGATAAACAATAATCTCTTTTACAACAATTGATTGAATGATTTAATCAGAAATGAAGACCAGTTTCAAGAGTTTTAATCCGATTTACGGATCCGATTGAGTTGTTGTTATCTTTGGCATTGAATTGCATTAAATTGAATTCTTCGTGGGATTTATCCATAGATATTGAGCTCAAAGATCCCGTAGTATTACCGCTGCCCTCACATGTGTATCTGTTTAATACAATTGACTTAATATTTATTTTACAAATAAACCATTATTTATAAAAAGCGTGTACTTATGCACTTCATCATTGGCGACACCATCTATCTCGTTTTTATCCAAATGATCCCGAATTATATCAGCCAAATGGTTGTGTGCCATCAATTTGACAGAAACTAAATTATAAAATTCAATCAAATTATATATTTCTCACTATATTTATAACGAAAATTTTCTATTTTAAACACATATTAAAACTTTATAACTTTTAATTAATTATAATCTATAACATCGCTATTATTTGGATTTAGTAAATGATTTAGACTTAACTGTGATTCGCATAATTGTTGTGTTTGTTATATTTGTCGACACAATTGACATCATTTATTTGGATCCTAAGAGATGTCATATCATAGGCTTTGATGTCATCCTCTCCGCCCTCATCGGTATAGCGAACGATATTCTCTCTCACGTCGTCTTCAGTCGAGTCGTTGGCCTTCTTATGTCTCTTACGGTCTC